ATTTTAATAAATGGCAAATTAAAAAGGCATGAACATTTTTTGTATCAAAAAAATATCGAACTGTGACACCAAAGTATCGAACCGAAACGTGAATTTTGTGTATCATTGCACCCCTAATGTTTACCTGTGCAGGGATGTAACTTGATCCTGTGAGTATCTCGCCAGAGTCAACAGATAAAGGCTTCAGTTGCTGCAGGGGAAGCCCTGCCTGGATCTTACTCTTCATCTCATTATAGTCCAACTCCAGTTTTTGGAGAGCACGTATAATGTTTGAAGGAGGATTCTTTGCCCTACAGTGAGATTCAGGACAAAAACTCTTGTCTCAGACAGAGGCTTATAGGCTCAGACACGTATTGTAACTTGGTGCATACTTACACTAGGGTGAGCTGGTTTCCCTCAGTAGAGGTGTAGTATAGTCTCCAGCAGTGCTGTCTGCATATGCTGTACTGCAGTGCCAGGAGGGCTAGCTCTGCTTGCTGAGCACGGTCCATACACTCACACTCTTTTCTCAACTTGCCGCCAACACTAGGGGGGGTACATACACACACATTATACTATACAGATCATGCATAAACAGGTCATGCGTGCGTATACTTCACCTTTTTGTTTTCTCTTTCCCTTCCTGTGTTTTCTTCAGTTTGAGAAATTCCTGAAATATTAATAGACCATTTAAAAATGTTTTGCTGGAGCTTCTATGAATGACAGCTGTTTGGGTTCCAATCTTACCTTGGCGATATAGTCCAGATCTGCCATGTGCACTTCAGTGTTAATGTGTTTGTCAGCTGTTTCCAGGTCCTCAGTTTGAGTAAAGACTGACAGGCACTGCACCACCTCAGTGCCAATCATCGCATCACAGGTGGGGACGCAGGGCATAGGGGAGGTGTGCTTATCTACACTTTTTACCTTGGTGGCAGACTCATATGACCTCAAGGTCTCAGTGCTGGCTTCTGCTGTAACATCATTAGTGGTGACTGGACACGAGTGACCGCTCCAGTTTTGTTCTTTCAGACTGTCATTAGCCAGACAGACAAGGATGCTCTTATCATCCTCCATGAGGCTATGAAAGGTGTCGCTTTGATCTTCAAAGGTTAAGAGAGTTGATTGCAGTATGGTCAGTACCATGCATATCCTCATCTCTGCATATATGTTTTGTGGTGTTTTCTTCAGCTTGGCACAGAGGAAACTTACCCTGTTCTGGCTCCACTGCCTGCATAATGCTTCCATCAGTGTACTCTGGATCAATCATCTGAATCCTGTCAGTACTGCTGGAGTCTAGGAGAGACTCTTTGGTAGCCATTGGCCATTCTGACCTGTAACATCAAATAATGTTACTCATTACTCTCAGCCTAACAGGTAGTGCTGTTATAGAAACCAAGTTTTTGTAAATATAATTAGAGTGGTGTAAGAGTGTTTGGTCTATGGAAATTGCATTTTGTGTTTACTTGGGTTACTTTGGTCTAATATCTAATATTTGTTTGATGATTTCAAATATTTAAGTTTGACAAACACAAATAACAGAAAATCAGGAAGGGGGCAACATATGCACGACATTGAATATGCTGCAGATTTAGGTAACTTTAAATATTTTTTACATTTCTTTCCGATGTCTAAAATAAATTCATTCACTCTGTAGTTGGGGATAATTTAAATCCACAGTTGGTTTAAAGTAGATGTCCGTAGACAGACAGGCGCACCAAAGCTGAAGTCAAAAAGCTGGACACTGTCAGCAGCAACATGGATTTTAGACATGCAACACACATCCTGTGGGCCCACCATCCGCCAGAGGCGGCGTAGGGGTCCGGTGCAAGGTGCTTCAGGTCACTGTCAAGGGCAGGTCCCTTGCAATTTGATTACTCAAGCTGGCCATGGGAAAAGGGAA